TAATTCTTTATATATTATTATTTATTTATGTATTAATAACTATTTATATATTATTAATTATTTGTATATTATTAATTATTTATATATTATTAAGTATTTATATGTTATTAATTATTTATGTTTACTACTAATAATAAATTAGAGAACTCTTGGGGACTACCTCCTTCTCCTCCTACAGGGGTGAATATGTAAAAATTATAAAATACTTTATGATTGAATAGTATCAGATATATTTTAATTTTATTAAAAAATTTAATATTTTTAATTATTTATATATTATTATTTATTTACTTATTATTAACTATTTATATATTAATAATTATTTATATATTAATAATTATTTATGTTTACTACTAATAATAAACTAGAGAATTCTTTGGGAATTTGTTATTCAAGAGTGCGTAGCAGATAAAGCAACGCTCCCATATCCTACCTAAGCTAAATAAATAACCTGTATATGTAAAAATTATAAAAAAACCTTTTATAATTAAAAGATTTTAGAATTTTTTTTATATTATTAATTATTTATATTTATTAGAACTTAAAGAGTTCTTGGTTTTCCAAAAAGAGTGGTCTTCAGATAGGGCCACGCTTTACAGAGATAGTTGGTAGGAGACTAATAAAATACCTCTTACGATCAAATAGGTTAAAAAATGAATATTCGTTTTATAAACTAAGTCTTGTCTGTTTATCAACTTGCTATGGCTTAGAGAATGTTGTTAACATTATACATAATTTTGACAGTCGACTTTCTGGTAAGACTGTATAAGGTCTACAGTTTTGTCTCAGAAATAAAACACTATAAGGAAACTTTAGAGAAAACATTGGTTCAACTTGAACTGCTATGCTAAAAAGGAAGAATAAATTTGAAACAAAGACCCTTAATAAAATGTAGAAAAACACGAAAAAAATGGTGTCTCAAGAACTAAGATCAAGTAATGATTAGATTTATTTATTTAGAAACAAGATTATAGGTATATATCTTGGGTGTATTTGTTAGAATCACAACAATACGCTCTCAAATCAGTAGACACGCTGCCAGATGAGAAAAATAAATATGCTGATAACTGCAGGAGATATGTCTGAGTGAAAGAGAGTGTTTGTTATTCTTGTGATAACTCATGGAGATCTCTATCGCAGATGACATGAAAGGAGTTATCAATAGGAATAAATGGCTTAGAATATGGTTGGCTAAAGGAAGTTTGAAAGTGACAAGATTGTTTGGGATTAAGACTAGCTTAAAGAAAAATGGAAAGGAGAGTGTATGTTACATCGTTCGGTAGAAGAAATTCCGTTGTAATAATTGTACAATAATAATTTTATTTTGAAGTACCAAATGAAATATGCTTCTTAAAACAGTTTATATTAATAAATAATGACTTTTTCTATTAATTGATAGTAGGTTTTAGTAGTTCCTCACAAAAAACCTTGACTAAAATCAATTAAACACAAAGTAATCAATTTACATATAATAGAATCGCACCTTATTTGTTAAAATAAAGATAGAAAAATAAGTTTATTTTCAATGTCATTACTTTGAAATAGAATCCCTTGTAAACTAAAGAAAAAAAAATTAAACAAAATAAACTATAATTAATTATTAAAGTGGCTGTAATTTTTTATAAACTTTTTCATGGTCGCTGACCACTGCTTATACGGAAAAATTGTATCTCAAGAAAAAACATTCGTTAATGAAATTTTATTGATTTTCCATTCTTGTTTATTCATTTTGTTTTTATTTCCCAATAATATAAGCTTTTCTAAAGTGTATTATAGGATCCAGTATACAATATATTTGGTGTTGTCATGTTTTATTTGTGGTAATTTATTAAAATATATGAAGGAACCACACGCGTTCACAATAAACACAAGTAAAGTGGGTGGTTTGAGTGGCGATTTTGGAATATGACGTATTCAAAGTCAACTGTTCTCTTCTCATATATAATATAATAAAATATTTAGATAAGTGTTTACTTATATATTCACCCATATATATATTGAATACATTATTAAAAGAGATATGTTTGAGAACATTTTTAGCACTGTACTTCGCACTTTGATACTAAAAATAATTTCTATTTCAGTGAATAGGCTTCCACAATCTTTTATTTATTATGAGAACATAATCACAATAAATTTTTAATATTATAGTATATAAATAAACGACAAATTGTTAATAATAAAAGAAATGAACGAATGAATCAGAAGAGCTTTTCATTAAGGCTCTAGGATTTTCTTTTCAGACCCAGAAGAAATAATGTTGACTATTAGGATATAATAGTTAGAATATACACAGAAAAAAAATTTGATTCCTTATAACATTATAATAAATTTAAAATTTAACAATTTATTCACATTTTCTCAAACCTGTTAGTTCGAGGGCCTTGTCCAAAGCATCTTTTCAATTTTTTTTAAATTGTTACAAACTCTCTGATTATAAGACCCCGAAGACTTACAAATACATTTGTAAGCCAGAAGTAACGAACCGTATCTTCAGTATGCTTTTTGGTAAAATATATGTAGGACAGAGAATATATCTATTTGGAGTTTTAAATGTTTAAATATTTGATATATATTATAATAATAAATATATACTTTTAATGATAGTTATGAGAACACAAGAAAAGTGCTCTATAATCATTAAAATCGAGTGAAATCATTTCATCTTATAATAGATAGATTTGTATATAAGTAAAAGTAGGGTTCAAAAGAATTTAGATTTAATAATCCGTAATTACTAAGTACATAAAAGGTTAGTGTCATTTTGGGTTAAAGAGCACTCTTATAGGATCTTACTTCTTTAAGTACCGGCATGAAAAACACACAATTAACGATGCAAAGCATTTAATATACTGAAGTCACTAAAATTGATATTAGTAATCATTAAATTTTAATTTTCTAGCAGACTTTCTATTATAAATTAATATTAAATTAAAACAACTTAAAAAATTCGTGGATTATTTTTATTTAAAGCCGAAATCAACTATGGAAAAACAAGCATATCATTATTAAAATAATGAATCATAACGATGACTTGTAACAATTGTTATATGATAGAATACCTATATTATAATAATTGCTGAATGTTGCTGAGTTTTTAATAATAAATAAAACTCATTTCTAAATAATATTTCATATAAAATATTTTGATATCACCAGTTGGGAAGTATTTGCAATAGAGTGTAGAGAGGATAAATTGCTCTAGAAATCATATTCTATTACTTATTAGCCATATTAAAAATGCATATGTTTGCTAAATGGACAGAGTTATGAATATTTTTACTTGTGGAAAATGGTTGTTGACACACATATATATATATATATATTATACATATGTAAAATAAGTTGAAATTGAAATAAGCTGCAACGTTTATATCAACTGTCTATAATGATTGTTGATATACATGGTTAAGTCCAAAGTACTTTTAAAAATAGGCATTTGAAGTGAGGTTATCTATAAGCAATTACGGGCATCGATAAGACAGATCTTTTATCACTGCTGTGCAGTTAAAAGTTCATCACATTTCAATAAATAGAAGTATGGTTATTATACATATAATGACAATTATTCAGAAAGTCATTAATCAACGTTTTGGAAGACTTTTAAGTTCACAAAATAATATTGTACCTTTATGAGCAGTTGTAAGTATCTACAAATATTACTTTGAAACCTCATAAGTTAAAAAATTAAATTATTTAAATTATTTGAAAAGTAACACCATATCATATATAGGAAAAATCTTAATTAAGCTTAATTATAACCTAGAGTACAAGTATCTATTAGGAAAAATGTAAGTGTATAAGGTCTGTAGTATTACAACCGGTTATCATTTGCGATTAATTAAGCTTTGGTGCACAAGGCAGCTACTTCAAACTAAACCAACCCAATAAATTAAAGATCAATTAAAAAAAAATACTTAAGTATTGATTTAACACTAAATTGTCTTTCATTTAAAGAATAAATGACACTTTAGAGAGCCTAATATATTGAACACTTGTGTTAGTTAAGTGTTTATAGGTATATATTTATTTTGTGAGGATTAATTATCACAATAGGTTTAATTATTAGGGTTTATGCCAAAGTCCAATTGATTACAAATAATCGCTCATTGTAGTACTTAGGATTAGCATTGTTTATACGCCAGAAGTATTTATATACCACAAGGATTTCCGTAAATACCGCAGTGGTAAGCGTACGAATAACGCTGAAAGGCACGACTCCCGTATTCAAGTAAAAGCTAACTAACCTGACAAATCTATAAATTTGGCCAAGTCTCTAACTTTGCAGAATGTTAACTCTGTTTGGTGAATAAGATTTAAAATTTTCTCCTTATTAATCATGGCACTGACACATGAGATAGAGCATAGTTTTCTTCTGTAGGCTAGACCCAGTCTTAAGGTATGTCTTCCTAGTACGCCGGGCCACCTGTAGTGTTAACCAGTTTACGCCTTAGCGTTCGAAGGGTTGCTATTAGTATAAGCTTAGGAGCAATTTCTCTGATAGATATTATTTTTCATTGTTCCAATTTTGACTATATTAATTATTCTATTATCCTATTTAATCCTATTTAAACAATTGTTAAAATTGTTTATTAAAATTGAGAATTAATTGAGTGAATTTAATTTATAAGACTTCCATTGGGTTTAATGCACAAAATAAAATTATTTAATTTTTATAGGAAATCTTTTGTCAAACACTTAGTCGCATCCTTATATTGATTATTTGATTTTTTTTTCTCAATACACATAGCCATTGTACAAATTTTTGACAATCAAAAGTGCTGAAATGCCCATAGTAACCAACAAACAACCCTTAGCGCATACACAAACCCATGCACACACATACCCCAGCTGTTCTTTTTTCTTCTACATTCTGCCACATCATTCAGTACTTTTCCATTGTAAACTTTGCTATTTTTTTCACATGAAATTTTTTTTTGCATGAAAACACAACTGTCAAAAGTGGTTCTACCGTTTAAAGGCCTATGAATCGGACTTACCTTATTATATTTCTTATTCTTCAGATGCTCCAATCCTGAGATTTTACCAGGTACATCACTTTCACCTGCGGTGCCGTGTAAGCCAATGCAATCGCGTTCATCGTCGTTGCCATTTAATTTAGAGAATTCTTTACAATCCATGCTGTAATTTGCGCGTTGTTGATAATTTATTGATTTATTTACGTTTGAATTTAATTTTTGATTAAATTCGTTTATAGTATTTAAATTTTTATTTAAATTTTCCAAGTCAGTTGAGGATAATAACGGCGTTAACTTTGTATCGTTGCACACACACGACGATTTTGACTCAACTGAATCGCTTGTTGGTTCTTCCGCTATGCGACTAGTACTGATTTTGCAAAGCTTCGCTATGCCGTTTGATAGTTCGTATTCGATTGTTGTTGCTGTTTTCGTTGTTGTCGTATGATTTTTATTTCTCTGGCTACTGCGCACAGTTGTCGTTTCTGTTTGTATATTTTTGAAATTTGTGCCAGTAGTGTTGTTGTTCGATGTTGCACAGCAACAACTTTCATTGGGTTTGATATTTATTACGTCATTATTATTTCGTTGGTGCTGTGCTATTGTGCCGCCGTTCATACATGAATCAGCTGTTTCGTGTTCGTTGACTGGAATTGTTGTTTTGTATATGTGTTGGTGGTGGTTTTGATTTTGATTTTTTGTTGTTTGAACATTGGCAGAATTGCAAGACGAGTTGTACGCCGTTGGATACACTGGTGAGCTGTGAAGGAAAAATGAAAATGAATTCGTTAAAAGAAAGTATGAAGCATAAGATAAAATTGGCAAACATAAATCATATGAGTTGTGGTTTTATGACGAAATATTTTAATTCATTTTGTAATAGATTTTGCGAAGCAATGTTATCTACTTCGACTTGAAGGTCACATCGTACAGGTGTAAATCGGTTTGTTGTTGCTAAGAGACAAGAAATTGAAGTCTGAATGTGGCGAGTGTGTAAGAAGAGTGTGCGTGGTATAGATGTTATGTTGTATGAAGTTCATAACTGTTATAAATGGAGTATTTGTTAAACTGTTATAAAAGTTTAAAAAAAATTTAAAATTTTTAAAACTAACTATTGGTTTATCGAATTATTTTCTATTATTCTTGTAAATAACATTATTTAATGTTTCATGAATTTCACAACTGTTATAAATTTAGTAGTTGTGGCAACTTTAGTGTTTTTTACATTATTTTCTATTATTTTTGTAATAATAAATTTAATAAATTGTAAACATAATAATATTTATTGAATTTTATAACTGTTATAAACCCAGTAGTTGTTTAACTATTATAAAAGTTAATTATTAACTAACAACTATTAAAAAAAATTAAGTCAACTAAAAATTAACTATTAAAATAAATTCTTTTACTTTATTTTAGATATTATATTATTGTAAATAATAAAATAATTAAGAAGCTAAATGTTCATGAATTTCATGAACAGTTATAAACGGAGTAGTTGTTAAACTGTTATAAAAGTTTTAAAATTGTGTTAATTTTGCGCTCTAGCGACAGAAAGCGCTTAGTGCCACCACCATGCCATTGGCTTATACCACACTCAAGTAAAATTGAGTACTGATATTACTTTTTATAACAGTTTTCGAACAATTTACTGTATTTGGTGGATTGAAATTTTACTTATAGTTTGATGCTCGTGTTTCATACATTTTTCATCGCTTAAGCGCAGGATGGCGACGTTTTTAATCTCAACTGTGGCCCGAAACCTGAAATGTGCTTGATAATTGTGAATTCGATTATCCCGAAAATAAATTTTTTTCTAATTTATTTTAAAAATTCCAACGAAGTAGTAAAGTAAGTATAAACTGGTCACTCTACTTAAGAGTGAACTTTTGTTGAATTCTGCCCCACTAATCCCATTGATTGATCCATAAATACAGGGATTAAAAGTTCAAATTGAAATTATATATGTTTTGATCACGTGATTCTTATCTTATCAATTTTTCTACCAGACTTGCATATTTTTTTTTGCATTTTTAAACGTGTCGAACTTTGTACGTATATTCTTTAAAAATGCTTATTCACAAAAAATGTTTAACAGGTGATATTGATAACCTAATTTTAGATAGAATTGTTTCGAATCAGGAGATTCAAAACTTAACTGATTAAATCAATAAAATTGCACTTACCGCACCTCACTCTTGCACCTATGCAAAAGCTTCGTTAGAACACTCGCTTGTAGAAATTTTGTTCCCATTTCTATCAACTATTACAGGTCAATAAAACAATTTTATATTTATTATATATATTTTAACTAATTTATTGAAAACGCAGCGAAATCACACTAGATCTGAGCGAACACCTCAAAATAACTGCGAGTAAAAACCTAACAAATCTGTACAAAATGAAAAGTTTACAATTTCTTTTTTTTGTTTTGCTTTGTCTTTGATTGTGTTTTTATTTTTGCTATTGTTTTTATGATAAGTTTTTGTTTACATCTCTTGTTTTGTTTATTTTTAGTTCGGACTTTGTTGTTGTGCCGTTGACTTTTAGTACTCATTATCGGTCGTTTAGAAAGTGCATAGAACAGAAGGGAAAAATATGATAGGAAAATGTAAAATTTATTAATAAAAGCTGTCAATATACGATTGGACGAGGGTTGCTACGAAAGCTATTAAAAATGTTTGAAGTTAATTATCAATACATAATTTGATTGTTTATAAATATTAAATAAAATATTTATAACAAGTGGAAATCATTACATATTTACATATTATTAATTTAAACAAAAACATGAAGAGTTTGCCCGGTACGAATGTATATGTGAAAATAATACCTTGGTGAGTATTTCGTATCGGATGAAGACATACAATTCTGTTACGTAGGTTCAACAATACAATTTATAGAGGAAATGGAACTAGGAGGAATACTCTAACTGCATAAAGTAGTTACAATAGATCACTTGGTTGCAGTGCAAATTTCCCCAAACATAATAATGATTGAATAATATATTTATTATATAATGTGTAAATATATGTTTGAAAATATTTAATTAAAGCTTTAATTGAATAAAAAAAAAATAATAATGATGAGAAATATATGTAGTTCGAATGGAAGAAAATACTCTAGTTAGAAAATGCTTGTTTGATTCGGAACCTGCTGGTGTAAAAAACTCTGTAAAGCATGTCCCCATCTCCGGTGGAAGGACCCGGTGGACAATAATATAAAGGCATTCGGTACTACCAACTGTCGACAGCAAGCCACAGATCGGTTAGCGAGTGCTATTAGACGTAGCCAAGGATAACTGACGTCTGTATTGGTCTGTATTTGTATCCTGAGTTGGGTTAGTAGGGCATTTGTAACAACAATCAGTTGTGCATCTGAATATGTTTCTGTTATACTCGTAGTTTGACATGTTTAAGCATTACGGTAGAAGATTTTTCAATAGTAACTTTTAATGATGATTGATTTTTACCTTAAAGTCAATCTCATAGAGTTATAATGCTTACAATTGGGGTGTCTAACGAGACAGATATGCTCCGATCACGTAATAGCATAGCTATTCAGCTTCAATTAAGCTATCTGTGTGAAAGACATGCTTCGAACATATAATATCATATCAGATTAGACCACGGTATATGGGTCTATTTCACATTAGACCAAGAATTGGGTACAAGTTTTTATGTGGAGTTATAAAAAACACATTTCAAATGCAGAAGTGCGCCTCTAATGAAGAGTATTCGCAATTTTCTGACCAGATGAAGTTAGGCAATATTAGTTGACCTACCTCTAGTACATGCAGTATGTAATAGACAAATGATTTTATATAGTAATTATACTTCAACACAGTGTTACGATTAAGGATTGATTTAATAAATTTTGTACATTATTTAATATACATTTTATGACATGTATAGGAACTCACGCAGACGAACTGTGTATTTCTTATAATCCTTATTGCAGAAGTTGTGGAAACCCGCAGGAAAACGAAACCATAATATATTTTCTCTATGAGTGTCCGGCCCTGGCATCCAGAAGAAATTGGTTTTCAGGAAGATACTTCTTTAGCAGTCTATCAGACTGTTCATCGGTAAAGACAAACAACCTATTAGGAACCCACGTAGAGGAAGTGCTTATTTCTTATAATCCTTATTGCAGAAATTGTGGAAACCTGCAGGAAAACGAAACCATATTACATTTTCTCTGTGAATGCTCGGCCCTGGCGTCCAGAAGAAATAGGTTTTGAGGAAGATACTTATTTAACAGTCTATCAGACTGTTCATCGGTAAAGGCGAACAAACCATTAGAAACCAACGCAGAGGAACTGCTTATTTCTTATAATCCTTATTGCAGAAATTGTGGAAACCTGCAGGAAAACGAAACAATAATACATTTTCTCTGTGAATGCTCGGCCCTGGCGTCCAGAAGAAATTGGTTTTTAGGAAGATACTTCTTTGACAGTCTATCAGGCTGTTCATCATCGACAGGATGAATTTAGTTTCTACTCTTCTATACTAGGGGTTCTTGCGAGGAATGTGGTAGCAAAACGGCGAAAAATCGTTTATTGATGTACATGGAAGTTATCCAATGGCCTGCCACTGCAACCAATCAACCAACCATGATATGTAATATCAATTTATTCTCTTATACATAAGTAGAAAATATTTCAAAACAACATACTCGTATTTGATAAAATGACAAGTCAGTTTAAATGTTGATTACAATTTCTTTTTATTAAATTAGTATTTCTGGTATATAAATCTCTCCTACAAATAATCCATATTTTCTATTTACCAATTAGTTAAAAAAATCCACAAACATTTTTCCAATGTGTACAATTAGCCTTCTTATCTATCGCGTTGATGTGACATTAATCGATAGAGACGACAATCTTTCAAGCACGACTAGAAAGATATGACGTTAATTATAGTGATTGAAGTGCTTCTTGGTTTAATGTCTTTAATGTCTTCTGACATGAAAATGGCTGTCCATTATTTGACAATAAATTAATAAACTATAATTAAGATTTAGACAGTAGTAGTAGCAGTTCTTAGGCTACTAACCTTGCTGCTTCGTGAAAGGGAACCGAACTGTAGTGTCTTGAAAGACTTTGAAAGAATTTTGTATTATTTTGAAACTTCAAATTGTTGAATTAATAAATTTAATGAGTGTAATTAATCTGCGTTTTATATTAACAATAGCAATAAATAAAAACTTTAAACATTTAAACATTTTTACCACTAATTGCCTGAATTATTGTATGAAATGCGTTAAAATGGTATTTTTTAATTTCAATGAATTTTTTTTTCAGTTTTAGAGATACAGTACAGTGCAGTACAGATCTTTTTCAAAGGCATTTAAAGGTCAGTTAAGGCCAAAATGAGCTCGTAATTTCTGTCTTAAAAGTCAGTAGGTATCTAAACAACATTCGGTTTTTTATAACTGCCTATATAGATACAGATATTTATATCCATAATACGGATACTCGTATGTATGTTTAGTACTCGTACATACTTTATGGCTACTTTATCTTAATACTAGTATATTAGAGTCATTCGTTATATGAACGGAATATGTTTCGCAAGATTTCTAATTACATTTTAATCTTATTTTTAAACACATATTAATTTCATAAGTCTTGATTTTGAAATAAATACGGAAATATTTGAAATTTTATTGCTTAAGAAACCCAACTGAGCTTAACAAGATACTTAATATCAGCAAAAGATTTAATTAAAAATTGAATTTTAATGATCTATGAAAGAATTTACTTAACTTATGGTTTAATGTATCTCAGCTAAGCATATTTTAAACGCTTCTATCAATAATAGTTATTAAAAAATTTATAAAAAAATATTTTAAGTAGAAAAAAAAACTTTGTTACGGAGTTGTAAACCTGTTAATGTATTTAATTGAAAAAAAGCAAAAGTGAATTAAAAAGCTTTAATTGTTTTAGTTTTTTTACTTTTACTTAAAAACTATTTTTCATATTTTATATTAAAAAAAAAAAATTATGAAACTTTCTTAATATAAATGAAAGTGCTAGCGCCATCTATTACCATTAAGTGCTACCATAAACTTGTTTATGCGAAATTTATATATAATAATATGTATTACTGTTAATATGACTGCTACTACTAACTGTATATAAAAATATATACAATAATAATTATTATTTTTAATATATCTATACTCTATTCGGAGCTTATGGTTTTCTGAAAAATTTTTCCAGCTGCTCTATTCTTAATAAGTTGTACCTAGTTCATTAAAAGATTTCTTCAAGTCATTTGGTATAATCCGTTTCCAGCTGCTTCTATTTCTAATCTCTTTAAACAGTTCATTAAACGATCTGTTAAGCTCTGTCTGAACAATTTTCCTCTAACTCGTTTGAGTTTTGCCATAGTGCTTAGTCTTTAGTGAGTTCCCTATAATAGAAACGTGTGTTCACATCAGTGTTGATGTTAACTTGATTCAATAGTCGCCATAATTCTTTGTTAGAGATAGTCATCGGCCACAGGATTCTTATGATGTTCTATTCATTCGTATATTCACTTCTCCAGATCAATCTTGATGTCAACTAATTTGATGTTTGCCAGAGTACTTCATTAGAGATGATGCACGTGTACAGGATGCCTTGGATTTATTTGTGAATGATTGTAATTCTGTTTTTATTTTACTTTTAACTAATCAAATCTATTTAATAAAAACATTCTTTAATGAAAAGTATTGGATTTATGCAGCCACAATAATTTTAATACCTGTTTCGTTAAGAAGATTATTGGTTCGCCATATCATATGTATGAGAAAACTCGTGCAGTTTACATTGTAGGGGAATTCAAAATGTGATTCTACTCTATTCAAAAAATTAATTTTTATGATTTTATAATATTTTTTTTATAGTATAAATATACTATACAACCTGCAACAAAATATAATAAAAATTACATACAACCTGCACATATGTGACCTAATAACCCATACTTTCCTCTACGTACTTTACTTTCTTGACCATATTTAATGTCCATGTGGTTTTTTATGATGTCGTTGGAATTTTTAATAACTTTAAAATAATTGACGTAATTCGTTCATATTACGTGAGGTATCATAATTAAAATGATGGTAGGTTTAAAAAACTATATTAACCCTATAATATTTGTAAGAAGGAAGTTAGTGCAGGTGGTATCACAATGGGCCATTAAATGGTCATAGTGTGTCGACGACTATGTATAGTCCATATAACTCTAACCTAATCTAACCTAACCTTCATAATGTTGGTAGGGCGATAAAAAAAAATTTAGTTAAACTTCTTCTACTGCAGATTAAAAAGCGAAATATATTGTTGTAATAATAAATTTCTCTTTTTATCTATGATATTATACAGATTTAGATCACTGTGATTATTTCATGTCTTAAATAATGTGTTATTACCTAAAGTAAGAGTACGATGTCTTCTATCATATTTCTTGAAGTGCTTATTTTATATATACAAAATTTTCTAAGTTTCAAAAAAATCAAAAACTTTAATTAAAGATTTAATAATAAATAAAAGTTTTTTATGTTAAATTCGACAGATCGAATTAAGATTTGAATTGAGATTGAATTTAGATTTGCGAATCAAAAACACTATTAAACTAGAATGCTATAGCCTTAGATCCAGAGATCCCAAAAACTAATTAGTTTATAATGACTTATATGATAACTTATAAGGCATTATATGCTATCTATAAGGCATATGCCTTATATGATAACTTATAAGGCATTATATACTACCTTATAAGGCATTATATTATATAATATCATATAAGCAATCATAAAATTAAAGAATATAATGGCTAAAATTAGGCAAGATTTTTGCTTATAATCGCAATTTTTTTTAAGCCATACAAATTTTTGCTTTTTAACCACTGTATGAGCTCAAGTGGGGTTTGGGCACATGGCAACCACACCAACCTAATCTAACCCAGCCATTGTAGACGTAATGTAAATCATTAATGAAGGTGTAGCAATAGCACTCAGTTATTAAATTTAACTTAATTGTTTATAGAACTGTTTATAAAACTTAAATAAATGGAACCCCTCCACAAACACTCCTTTCCCTTCCTAAAAAGTTCTAATCACACTGTCATTCTAGCTACTAACTATAATACCGTTTTTTTTTCAAATCAGTAAGCTTAAGTTCAAGTACCTATAACTTCTACTCTATACCCACATACTATCGACAGACTTCAATACTTTTGAAAAGAACTTGACAATTTGTCAACTTAAAGATAAAAAATTTAAAGCTTTAGAAGAACAACTGCAATAGGCTGAATATAAAGACTATGAGATGCGTTAGAAGTAATTTATAATTACGTCATAACTTTGTTAATAAATATATAAATAAATAAATGGAGAAAAAAATTGTATGTAAAAGTTTTTTTAGAATTTTGGACCGATTTGCACCTACATATATGTGAACTAAACAATATCTTTCATCATTTTGCCTTGTGTTGTGTTTTTCCTTGTGTTCTTAAAGTTTTGATCGACTCACCCGTTATCGTTGATGCTGCTAACGGCATTCCGGTCACTGCAAATGGAACTTGAGTTGCCCATATTTGTTGTTGTTGTTGTTTTTAAAAATTGTCGAAATTTTTAGAAAATTTATAAATAAATTTTTATTAAAAAAATCCTTTTATTTTTGCTTATTATAAAAAGCAATATTTCTTCAAACTTTATTAATAAAATTATGTACTAATATTCTAATATCGTAAAAAAATTTTTTTCTAATTTTGTAAAAAATTTTAATATAAAAAATCTTTATATGGCGAAATTTTAGAAATTCACTTTTACTTTAATTTTAGTTGCAATAAAAAAAACCGTAAGTGAATTGTTTAGTTTTATTTCTTTATTTGTTGTTTTTGTTATTAAAAATTAAATTTTTTAATATTTGTTATTGAGGTTCGCGGTGAACACACGCGCTTTAACTTCGTAGCTTACAAATCAAATCAAAACTGAATCTGAATTGGAATTTTAAAAAACTTCGTGCGAATACTCGACGGAGTTCAAAACATGAAAAGCGAATTTAAAACGAAACGAAAAGTGAACGTCAGTCTCAGCTGCCTCGGCAGTCTCGGCTGCGTACGTCCGTTAACAGTTCAATTGACTGAAAAGCAAAAAGTAAGAAAAGTAAAAAACCAAAAAAAAAAAAAAATAAAAACAAAATGCGAAGACAAGAGAACCGAGCATGAAGGAAGCATGTAAGGCAAGCATGAGTGGTGGTCACCATTTACACTAACACAAATGTCCGTCTGCGTTTTTGGTCACGAAACAGCACGAAATGCTGGCTTGTGCCTCGCTCCACCTGTTTTGAATTCGAAAACAAAAAGTTTTCCTACAAAGCCAAGTGCCAATAAAAATGTACATTTGATAAATGGAGCTGTACTGCAGGTCTTAACTGTCAAAATTAATTACACGTAATTTTTATTTTAATTATTTTTATTAATGAAGGCAATTGCCATCATTGATATCGTTATTATTATTATTTTCTAATATACATATGAGGTGAATATGGTTTTTTCTTATAAAGGAATTTTATTTATTAAGGAATTTTATTTATTAAGGAATTTTCTTTATTAAGGAATTTTCTTTATTAAGGAATTTTTTTTATGTTGTATTATAGTATTTTTAAAACAGCGATAATATAAATAAATCTGAATATATAAAAAATTATTGATTATTATTATTAATTATTATTATTATGTTAAGCCTTTTCCGAGTTAGTGCATCTGAGCACTTTTACTCCTTGATAACTGGAGAGTTTCTGCAGAGTCCCACCCATCTCACTGACTAGACTACTTTGTGTACTCCTCATAAGCTTCGTGATTATTTAATGACTGATCTAAGATCGGTTAGTGATTACTCTGAGATTAGATAGTGCTAAGTAGGGCAGCCTGTCGGTTTTAGCATATAGCTTCAGCGCTGTGTCCCTTATGTATTTTTTGACCGTATCTATTCTAAGGTCTCTTAGCATGTCATTCGTGCGGATGTACCATGGCACTTTGAAGAGTCTACGGAGAGGCTGACTTTGAGCAACTTGTAACTGCTGGATAATAGAGTCGGCAGCTTTACTATACGCGACACACCTATAAAGTAGTGCTGGTCTGTAGATTATCTGGCTGTAGATCAGCTTTTCGTTCTTCGCGCTGAGGTTGTTGTGTTTGAAAAGTGGTTGTAGGCATTATAGTGTTTTTGCCGTAATTTTTTCTATCAGAGTTATAAAAATTTAAAAGCATTCAACTTTTAAAATATGTTAAATGAAAATATAATGAATAATAGAAGAGTAATGGTAAGCATTTTTTATCTTATTGTTTTGATATATTGCGATTTGTTATGGTTGGCAAGACTAAAAATTGCAATATATGATAATATTTCTTCGTGTGGGAGTAATAAGAATTTATTAAAACGCACGGTGTGAGAAGACTTCTATATAGCGAACTTGAGAAAGTGTCTGTTATTAAATCTGACAACTAATTAAACCTTCATCGTTATTTTAAAAAGAGTTTTTCTGATAATGGTATTACTATTTATAAGGATGTGAGATGATTATTAATTTTTTGGTTACAAGGAGTTTATTTATGATATATAACGATAATGTAAATAAACTTAAAATTTGTATTTCAATAAATGTTTTGTTGAAAGAAGTGTTACTATTTTATTAATAATTATTATTAATAATTCTCTTAATGAAAAGAGCTCATTTATGTAGTTGACTTCCTCTACCTTAAACATAAAACTGTTATTTTGAATTTCTACCATATAAATTGGTTAATAATTCTCCGGACTTTTTGATGATATATACTTTAATTCACGTCTTCTACTTTAAAACTAAAAACTAGATTGATATGATCTACAGTTTCGCTTTGTTTTCTTAAGTTGCGTTCTCTTTTTCTCAATTAAATCAATATTTTGACATCACGTCAACTAAGACTGCTACTTCTTTTTATTTTTGACTCGAATCTTGAACTTGTAAATCACCTAATTTTTCATCTTTAAATTATTTTAGCTAACATATTAGCATTTTTGTCTTTGTTGACAAAATCATGAGTTTTGAAACTACAAAGCATTATATACCATATTTATAATATTATATGGTATATGTGATCAAATCCTACATTCTTCTCGAGATAAATACGAAAATAAGTTAAGTACAGTAGTCTAAACATACTATAATACATATTTAAATCATTTACTTAATTTCAAATCAACTGTAACAAATGCATAATATTCTTGCGTTCTTATAATAAATTAATATTATGGATATTGCATAGATATTGTACAATATACACAAACAAATTATATAAAACAAGTCGTTACAATATTTTGTTACATGTCTTAAATGTAAAACTTAAGGAACTAATTATACCACCTAAAAAGTGTAGCGCAAATTCAATTAAAATGTACTAAAGCATTTATTTTTTTACTCTGCGGTGCATAAAAAAGGTTTGCAATGCCGCTGCCTAGAAAAATTGTTGTTGATATACAATAAATACTAAATAAGTAAAAAAAAATTAAAAAAAATATTGGAATGACTAAATCAAATAAATTAATTTTTAATAACACAATGGCAAAGAATTGATTAAGACCAGTTAAACTACAAATTGTGTAAGAACGTGTAATTTGCAATTGGAACCTTCAAGTTAAATATTTAATTGTGGTAAGAACTTTAACTGTTAAGTAAATTATATACTAGGGTCTAGAGTGAATTTTTGTTTTTTTGCAAGGGTTTTCGATGAGAACTTTTTAAACTGCATTTTTTTTTCCATATTTTAACACATATATAATGTGTAAGAAAAAGAAATCCATTATTTTACCATTAGAGGACTTTAATTATCTGTATCCGGGGTTCTACAAGTCTGATCGAGTTACGCTAGATGGCATTAAAATATGAGATTTCATACTAAAAAAATTTTTGACAGTAATTGATTGACTCAGTTTTGTTTAAGCTCGCGTCAGAGATGGCACTAGTAAAGAGAAAATAGGTCCCATTTTACAGTTTTTCTTTGATAAAGGCGAAAACGCATGCCAGGCGGCTGAAAATGTGAATAGTGTTTATGGTCCTGATACTGTAATAGCTCCAATAATTAAGAACGTCAAATATGCACCATAATTAGAAATTTAATTAACGAAAATGTCAACAAAATCATGAAAATTGCCGAGTGCGACTGTATATAAGCACTGTTTCGATTGCCCAAGAGCTAAGGTTTGCACAAAAATCCTTAGATGCTGGATACAAAAAGAAGCATAATGTATGAGTGCCACACAAGTTAGCGCAAAAAAACCTCATGAATCGAATTACCATCTGCGAACCGCTGCTGCATTGCAACAAAAACGACCCATAATTGAAGCAGTTGGTGACTGGTGATGAAAAGTGGATCCCTTACGACAACCGTCAAGCGAAAACATTTGTGGTCGAATCGCGATAAGTCGGCGAAACGATGTCCAAGACAGAATTGACGACAAGAAAGATTTTGCTGTGTGTTTGGTGGGATTGGCAGGGAATCATTTACTATGAACTGCTCCTCTACGATAAAACTCTCAACTCGGAACTATACCGTTCGAAGGAAGCAATCACGCAGAAACGGCCAGCTTTAGGCAATGAGACAAATTGTATTCCATCAAGACAGTACCAGGCCACACAATTCAATATTAACTCGCCAAAAGCTTCGCGAGTTTGGTTGGGAAGTTTATATGCATCCATCTTATAGTCCAGACCTGGCATTAAGGTATTACCAACTGTCTTTATAGAGAAATTAACTTGAAAATGGAAAGAAGTTATCAAAAAAAGGTGCATATTTGACTTAAATCAATCATTTCAATTACAATAAATAAGCCTTCAATTTCATGCAAAAAAATTGAATTTCTTTTTACCATACCTATTATTTAATAGACTACCCCTGTACATACATACGTATGTATATATTTTTAATAAAAATGCGGCGTTTACACTGACTATACTTTGGCAAGATTTTTATATTCGAATACCATAGTCTAGACGTCCACTTAGGATTGTGATAGCTACTTAAAGAAATATATAAGAAAGACATCTTTAAAAAAATGATAAGTTAAGATTAAATAAACAACAAACAAAACTACATAAGCGACTTTAACGAACAATTTTCTTGAGGGGTAAGCAATTAAACATAAATTTTAGTAACTGAGGTTAATACAGTAACTTTTAATGTCTACCAACAATTAAATTTTTGCAAAAGCGTAAACGTACTTGGCTAATTAGAAAACCAACAATAAAAATATATAAAAAAAAACTCGAGAAAATGATTAAATAAAATTTATTTAAAATTTGTCATCGCAGTTAAAACGCTTTCGGGCTTTCGGACAACTGTGGTTTAGCCAAGTCTGAACGCATTTGCGAAATCAATCCATATTATTATAAAGTTTTTCTAACTGATTTTTTTATCTTTACCTTTTCTGTTTTAAAAACCAAAACCATATTACATTTAATGAACCTCTGCGTTAAGTTATGAGAGCTACGGAACAATATTTATTACAGACACTGTACAGTGTTATTTAGATAGACGAAGATGTGAATGTAAGGCTAAAATATTGGGGGTATTCAGTCCGTCTTGCAAAGTCTGTCTTGCAAAAGGCATGAAATTTAAGAATGGTATACTAAAATAGCAAGAGTGCGAGAAAATCTCTGTTGCAGATTTGTAACATTGAAATTAAACAGCTGTTTTTGCAGCATACCACATCCACATGAGAAGCGACAGATTTCAAAACACCTGTTTTTTTCAGTTTTTTGTTTTATTGCAAGCATATATATATGGGTTTAGGTATAGCAAGATTGCAAAGAATTGCAAGAAACTTTAGACGTGTTTTATTATTGATAATTGCAAGCTTGCGCAATCTGTAAATTTAATGCATCTTGCAATGAGTTTTCAAGACAGGCGGAATGCCTCTATTTTTTTATTTAAAAGGATCGTTAGCAAGTAAACACATATAAATATTTTCATGTTTAGTTTAACTTGATCGGAAATTATATTTATTTTGGTTGAGAATAAAAGATTTTCTTCAGAGATAGCACTTTGAAAAGAATGGATCCTAAAAATTGCAAAATATGATTGTCACTTCAAATAATAATAATTATTTGTTATAGTATAATTTAAAGCATGCTAAAATCCAAAAAAAATGTGAACGACAGAACACAGGAGAAGTGATTAGTTGTGACATAATAATCATAAAGCCAGATAAAGCAAATATATTATTGTCTATTTAGATTTCAAGTAAAATTCTATAATTTTTTGTAAGTGCTGTAAAAATTTCTTTGAATCAATAATAAATAAATAATAATAATACACACAAAGCAAAACAGCATAATAATACAAATAATACAACGTCAATCTGATTACTTAGCACAAAAAAAAAAAATTGAAAGGGAAAAAGAACTTGAGAAAAAATTGATCTTTCTCATAGGTAAATGTAGTCCAGTGAATTGTTGTTCATATCTAATTGATATGTCAATTAATATAATTAAGAATGTTTCAAGGAAATTAACTTTTTGTGATTTAGTTAGATATGGTAAGATATATTATTAAGGTTAGTAATATTAATGATATATATATAGCGACAATTTTTTATTTTATTTAAGTTTACAATTTATTTTAATTTATAAATTTGAAATAGTATTTTTTGGAAATGTTCAATTCGATAATATTAACAAATAGCATTTTTGTTTGGTTAATTTGGATTCAATCTAGATTAATTGTTGATCTGTCAAATTTTTTTGCCCAATCGTATATTTTTAGAGTACTCCAACAATATTGTAGTAGGGTTAATACATATTTACGTATATCATAAATATATACAATTAGTGAAATCTCCCACTAATTGGATTATAAAGAGTGTTATTGTTGTTGTTGTAACCCGCTGGGACCAGCTTAATTAATTAATTAAAATTATTTATTTATATGTATGAAAACATTGTTAAGGGATTTGAAATAATTGCATTAAAATATAAAAAAGTTAATTATAAATATTCAATCACATAAATCTTTAAAAATATAGTTAAGTAATTTTAAAATAATTATTTAAATACACACATATATCAGCCATCCGATGTTGGTTACTATTGTAACGAATAATCACATTAAATGATATTCTGCATTTGCGGTTACTTATATTTTTTTTTAATGAACCCTAAACCCAAACAAAGAAAGAATGGAGAATGAATGAAGAACCACAAAAAACATACGTTTTGAATGAAGAAGGAGGAAAAAAGCAACGGTCAAATAGCGGCAAGTAATAAGGAAATCCACGTAAAAAACGGTGATGAAAAAGTAACCATTCAATAAAGATAATTGAATTCAAGTGGAGTTAAAAATTATAAAGCTTGATTAATATATTTGTTTTTAATAAAGATAAAAAGCAAATTAATTGACAAAAGTAAATTGCAAATACTAAAAAAAAAGTTTTTGTTGTTTTGGTCACCTGCCTACGTTTATGCGCGTCACTTGTTGGGTAACGGGACTTTGCCGTATTGTGCGCGTCACTTGTTGGGTAACGGGACTTTGTCGTATTGTGCGCGTCACTTGTTAGATAACGGGACTGAGCGCGATCAAAATTAGAAAAACAATTTTAGAAAAAATAAATTGTTAAAAAATCAAGAAAGCTATGGACAGGAATTTAGACAAGAAACTTATAAGATCAGTAAAGGAGACAATGTTGAATTCCGACTACCCTTTTGCGTATCAAAGTATCCGGTTGACGCTTGATATTTGGGATGAAATTGCTAAAAACTTACACTCCACTGCACTCCAGTGCAAAAAGCGCTGGAAGGCGTTACGCGATAGATATGCCAGGGAAAAAAGGGGCTTTTATGAAAAAAGAAGTATGCTTCATTAATTTTTTTTTCTTTCAAAATTCTTTTAAATCCAAATTTGATGAAATTTACAGATAAGAAGAAAAAAAATCGTAAAACTTGGGAGTTGATGGATGAATTGTCATTTCTGGACTTTTACTACCAACCCAGAAATAAAGAAGAAAATGATGTCGAGGAAGTTGAAGTTCAGAATAATATTCTTGCAGGAGAAATAATAGAAGATGAAAACTCCGAAGTTTCTGAACGTGTCATCCATTTCGCAGTTAGTGATTCGAATGGTAAAGTTATCGGACAATTTGAATGTGATGATAGGATATGTCCATGTGAAGAAATCTCCTCAGCAATGACTAATTCTAATAATGACACTGTTGATACATGGGACGAATTATTGCATGTATTGACTGATGCTCAACCAATGCATGCAATGGATACAGCATCGTCCGACACTACTACATCGTCTTCATTCTCAAGTAATCCCAATAAAGTATTTATGAAAGCAGCTACTGATATTATAACTACATTAAATGCTTCCAATCAAATAAAAGCCCGAGCCTATATACTCTCATATTTGTCGAAATTACAACTAATGGATAACAAATAAATCAACAAATTAAAATTTAATTCAATGGAGAAAAGTAAATCAGTAATGCTTATTTTTTGATCATAGATATCAAATGTAAGTGTCATAGTAAGAAGACTACTAAATATTATTAATAACATAATATTATGATTAAACAATAAAAATGTTTATATAAATAAGCTCATTGTTTTTATGAATTTTGAATGGTTATTTTTGTAAACTGTCGGGAGGCTCATCTGTGTAGCACCAAAGGTAGAAGTCACAGCATATCTAAAGTATTTGCTTTAAGATTGGGTTGGAGTTTGGAGTGGCGGTTGTATGCACCAAAAACTTTTATCCGAGAATTAGCAGTTTTGGTGCATTGTTGCGGATAAAGATATTAAACTGAAGCTCTAGCAATATATCAAATGCCTAAATACATTGATGAAACTGTACCCAAAGGCTGTGGGTGAGGAACAGCTCAGCGCGTGCTGTAAAAGTACTTCCATACTTCATTGATATATATAAAAAATATATTAGTTCTCTTGAAAACACAGTGACATCACTTGGAAGATTCTGGCAAGTCTTTGAACGCAAATATGCATACCGGTTATCAGGATAATAGCTGCCAGGATAATCGTTACTAGGATAACGCTTAAGGATAACGGTTACCAGCACAACAGTTACCAAGTCTACAACACAATGGTCTTTTAAGATATTTTATTAAACATATGACTGTTATATATTTATGTTCATTTATTTAGATAGATTATAAATAATCTATATAATTTATTATAATTTATTTTTATTGTGAATCTAAATTTAATTTCAATATTTTGTTGGTCAATCAATTCCTTCAAAAAGAACGCTTAATTTAGCATTTGGTTCTGTATACTTAGTGGAGACAAAAACCAAACTGTTTTGAAGCGTTTACAGTTTTACTTGTACTGTAAGAGGAAATAGTTACGCAACGACTTTAAAACTGTTAGCAAAATTTTTGTAATTCAGTTTTAGTATTGACATTCATGCATTACTTTCAAATAAAATATTGTATTAATTTCTACTTTAATACAAAATATAATAACAATAATGTCAATAAGTGTATAAACCAAAATACACATATAAAAATATTAAGTATTCCATTGTTTAATAGTATAATTTCCATAAAATTGGTCAATTGAGCGTTTTCTGTTAAAATTTTTAGCAAAGTTATGAACCATTACGTACTGCTATTTTCACAGTTAAATTTGCATAGCAATAGTAAGAAATTTATACAATGTATGCCAAACTGTTGTTAGGCTTGCTACAAATTGCGTATAAGTATTCACATTCATTACTTAAGAAAAATATTTTGTATCAATTTTTTTCTTATACATTTTATTTACTTATTTAAATTTTATTTCATTATATCAATAATAACACTAAGGACTAGTTTTGCAATTCACACGTACGTTAAATAACTGTTAAGTCTTCGCTATTAGCAACTAAAATAATATATAATAAATAAATAAAATAATATATGTTATGTATGACTTAAGGGTCAAATCGACACTTAAGTGTGCATTGTAAAATTTGTTCCAAGACTGCAAACAAATATTTTTATAAAAATACATTTAACTTAAGCAAATATATTTATTACTATATATTGAAAATACATAAATATATATAATAAAAACTTGATTAAAACGTATACACATATAAATTTAGTCAGGAATAAAAAGAAAACTTACATTTTATGTTCAGAAATCTTGTGACAATGCTTCCAAGTCAATATTGGACATGGACACAATAGGAATTTGTGTTTTTATTGGTCCAAATAAAAGCTGATTATTTTTAATATATATACCTATACGATGATAACACATAAAGCAATGTAAAATATTTACCATATAAAAACTAACAGCAAAAATATGTGCGTCAAAAATAAAACACGATTAGTGCCCCACAATGGGTTTAATATACAACTCAATAGATCTGTAACCTGAAGAGATGGACTGTGAGTTCATAACACGATTCTACTAATGAATTTCAACTGACTCAAAGCAGTTTCAGAGTGATTGCTCACTGTCATCAATCTTTTAAAGCTTGCCTTTTACAGACTTTTAGAAGCTTGTCTCGCAAGTAGATTAAAACTTGTTTGGTCCAAGTCTGGACTTGGAAGTAATGTGATGACATACAAATCACTTGGAAACAAACCGATGGACTTTTTAGTACCACAATAAGGTTAGTTTATATATATATATATATATATAATCAGTGAACAGTGTATATATTGGAACCATCGAGTAGACACCAGAGGAAAAGAATGTTCGCTTTTCTGGCGAGTCCCAGGTAATGGTAAAGTATTTCATTTTACCACATGTTGTTATTCTTTGATGTTTCCACTTATTCGAACTATCCCATAAACCGACATAGTCATGCGTAGAGATTAAAATGCCAATACACAAATCTTCTTAAAAGTAAAATAGTAGTCCACGTCTAAAAACTGCTATAGAATATTTATTCCTAAATCTGTACTTATAAAAGTTTTAAGAATTCATAGGTATTACAGTGTTCTATATATGGTATATTATAAAGGGGATATGAATGAAAAAGATGGTTTAAGTTCCCTCAACAATCAGAATATTGGAAATATTGATATATTTTAACATAATTCACATAAAATATAAATTATCAGTCATATGTTAGAGCATCATTATATATACAACGCAAAAATTACTTTAATTGCTATATCAATTATTAATTGCGTTACACTATGACAATTTCAGATCACACACTTCTTCGATGACTCAAAACAATATATTGATATTACTTGGTTGGGACGCTTTGATGCAATAGCTACATAGTTCCCAAACCACAGAGCCGCTAAAATTCATTTGGACAAATTGGATTAGTGAAATTATTTACGAAAAGTGACAGACTTACCAACACCGCGTTATCAAATGTCAGAATGGTTACAGATTTTTTTGGGGAGTTATGCAGATCTGAGATCAATTATTGCTTAGTCTGATAAAGTGATAAATAGCAATCCAGTCAAGGCGTAGAGAGGGGATTTGAAGAAACCTCGCAGTTAGTAGAGAGTAAAAGTGCTCAAGTCAGTAACTCAATTATCTTCAACATAATATAGCTAGAAGTCATATATGTATATAATTAGCCGATATATCTTTCATTAAAATTTGTCCAAAAATAGACTGAAAAACAGAAAATATTTTTCTATTGGCTATATATATATATGAAAATATATCTCTCTCTTTTACTCCAACTTAGTCCACAGGTTATTAAGGTGACATTTGAATGTATGATTTTCAATTCAAAAATACTTTTAGTTTCTATTAAAATAATCGATTAAATTTGCCTAATTAATACTTAGGTCGTGTGCGAGTTAGGCTAAGTTGATGCTAAACCAAATGGGAGATTTTTTTGGGATTTTTTGCACTGCACACATTTAGCCATTTATCAACACGTATCGACACATCACTACATTGTTGGCTCATCTTAGAATTTCCCTCATTTAGAACGCAACTTAGCCTAACTCGCGCACATCCTAAGTTCTATAATCCTTTGCATAGGATATGATAAAAATCGATTAAAATATATAAATAAAATTATTTATTACCAAAAATGTCATATATGGGAGAAAGAATCTTGTCAAAGCTTAATAATTTTTGTAAATGTCAAAGCATTTTAAAGCTACCAAATGAAAGGACTTCAATGCAGTAAGTTAGTTGAGTCCATGCGGTAATCTATCATAATTTTTATATCCTAAAATCCCATTTTCCTATTACAGCAAATGTCTGCGAGCAAATATAATAAAATTGCCATTAATACAAATAAACACATGTGGACATACAAACTATATGAGTACATATTCTATATACATATATGTACATACATACAAATGTACACACAAATACGAGTTGTAAGGATAATGGCAGATGTGAATGCATGGTATGACATAAGGATAACATAGCACACACCAAGTAGGATGCATGAAATTCCTTGCGTGCCTTGGCTGGTTATTCAAAAGCTAAAATACGATCACAGCGCAAACAATTTTATGATGCGAGGACTGCAGACTATGTCGGAAATAGTATATGGACAGACATTTGGTTGAGTGAACAGATAAACGGACACACCACCACTGCAGTGATGGAGACTAAGGAGTCGTCGGGTGACTGAGATAAAAATTCTACTTGCATACAGACAGACGCATACGTACGGAATGGTCAATCGGCCATCTCCAAAATGTAATGGAGAAGGATAAAAGGCAACGTAAAATGTACGTAACTTATTTTGTTTCGCTTTTATTTTTCTTATATAATTTAAAAAGAATAAGGATAATAATAATGTGGAGAAGGACAAAAAGTAAATAGTAATAACCGGAAATAGGAAGAAAAAAATTAAGTTTAAAAATTTAATATCTCTGTAATGTATGGCCTCTGTGTGTGTGTTTAGTATTCCTTGACATTGCATAAAAATAATTTTTTTTTATTGTTAAAAAATTTTAAATATTTTGAAGTAAATAAATATAATAATAAGAGATGTGTTTTTTAAGAAAAATACAGTCAAACTTCCATAACTCGAAGTCCAAGTTTGCAAAGAGAAGGTTCGACGTATGTAGACCTCGAGTTAGAGAATTTTTTTTATTTTTTTTTTTTTGTAAAAAAATAAAAAGTCCAAGTTTGCAAAGAGAAGGTTCGATTTATAGAGACTTCGAGTTAGAGAATTTTTTTTATTTTTTTTTTTTTGTAAAAAAATAAAAAGTCCAAGTTTGCAAAGAGAAGGTTCGACTTATGTAGACCTCGAGTTAGAGATTTTTTTTATTTTTTTTTTATTTTTGAAAGAAACTAACATAGAATTGCATTTTAAGTTATTTATTTATTTGCAATCAAATAAAGCACAGAAGTTATAGTGAAGTAAAATATACAGAAATTAAGGTTTAGGACTTGTGAGGGACTCTTGTTTTCAATAAAAAGAGATTCCACTTTATTCAAACTCTGATAGTGATCATCAGTTGTAGTATCATTCGTTTGCAAATATAA